TGGTGTAGAGGTCCAAGTGGCTGTTTATGTTTTGTTTGACTCGCTGACGCATCAAAATCTAATCCTTACGATCTAGATATATTATGATCTAAAAATGTAGATTTTTCTTTTCTATAGCAGATCTAGACCTTACGATCTAGGTATATTATGATAGAACGGTCTAGACCTTACGATCTATATATATTATGATCTAAAGGTGTAATTTTTTTCTTTTTATAGCAGATCTAGACCTTACGATCTAGATATATTATGATGTAATGGTGTAGATTTTTTCTTTTTTCTTTTGTCTAATCTTTTTTTTTGTTTTTTGGTTAATATGGGATTTTCTAACCCGTGAGAGTGAACGTGGTGGCTTTTTTTCTAATTACATTGTATTTCTAATCGGATTCTTCTTAACTGGAATTTTAGATATTTCCAGATTGTATTTATAGATGGACTCTTACCTAATATCAATTATGGCGGCGGGCCTCGGCTAGGGTAACAGTGCCGGCGGCGACGGCTGGATTAGGGTTAGGGTTTGTTTATTCTTTTTTTTTGTTTCGATTTTTTATTTTTCCGTGCGGGCGGCACGCGAAAATCGATTTTCCCGTGCGGGTGCATCGCCCACACGAAAAAATCGCGTATTTTTGCAGACGATTTCTTCCAGACGGTCGAATCTTCTGCACGCGAAAATCGATTTCATCCGCACGGAAAAATCCTTGTAGTAGTGTAATCGATTTTCTCTATTTTTAAAAAAATAACCGGTAGCCAATGAAATTGTACTAGATAATGCATGTTGCATGCATGCATTCACATTTGGCATATGTCTGTCGTTAACACTCGTACGGGCTACTCCAGAACATATATTGTATAAGAAAATGCTTGCTTTTGTCAAAAGGGACAAGCACAAGCAATAGCAAACATACAGATCACTACAGGTTCTACGCGTGCATATGGTCAAAGAATCATTCGTATCTGATCAAGCAGAAGCGTATGTATGTACGTACATAGCTAGGACATATACATACATACATACATACATACATATATATATATATATATATATATATATATATATATATTAACTCCCTCTCTCTCTAACCTAATGGCGCCATGAGCTACAGTTGGACATAGCTAGCTTATTAGGCAGATTGTCCAGTGTCGTACTTACCGAGCTGTCTCACATGTACAGTGCCCACACGCAGAAGCATCCCATGGTGCAATGCTAACACCAAGCTGTACGTGCCATGCACACTTCTGATTTGTCCATGCATGCATGGTCACTCTTATCATCATATCGGTTCCATCCATTCATTGGCCCTCGATCCATATCGATCTATCATCGCATGCATGCAAGCGCTCCTACTAGGTAGGTATGGTACTCCAGTAATAACTCCACTCTGGATCGATATGATCGATTGATCGTCGTCAGACACCACACCCACCAACTACACATACACACATCCTTCTCGAGCCTTGAACAAGCTATCCATCACCTTTCACTTTTATATAAAGGCAAACAAAAAGCGATGATCTTTTAGGTGAGAATTTACTGTGTGTTTGCTATCACATTATTGTGTACGACATATGCAAGAAATGTATGGAAAAAATATATTATATATATATGATGTGGCTTCAGGGCTAGTAGCTATTTTTTCCCTGCAGGTAGATCTCATTAAAAAAGAAACTACTAGCTAGTGTTGTCCATGTTTGCCAACATTGTTGGAATTTTTTTTTTAAAATGGAATTAGTAAGCTTAGTTGGTTAATTTCAATATGCAACCATCCGTGCATGCATAAAGAAATTTGTGTAGTCTGCATCTAAGCTGGAGATACTATTACTACAAATACTGCATCTATGTTTGAATGCATCCAAGTCTTAAAAAAAGAAAAAGAATGTTCACCACATGTCATCACAAAAATGCTTGATATATACCTAGACCCGTATCAGGTTCAGTCAGGTGACGAACTAAAACTCTATAAGCAAGAATATATAGCAGTTAACAAAGCTCTTTACCGATAGCTACATTTTTGAAGAAAAAATGTCTGGTGTGATTACTGGACAGCGATGGACACGTATGTAAAGCGGTTGCATGCATTAGTCAATGCTAGTCATGCATGTCCGTCTTACAAGCACAGCGCAGCACGCGTACGTACGTACGCACGTAGGATCGATCGAGCAAGCGGCTGGTAAGTGTAGTGACATAGGCCAGGTGCAGTAAAATGCATGGCAGACAGGGCGATGTGCAATGATCAGTACAACACAACACACGGCCAGGCCGGCCGGCCATTAATATTTTGCTTCTCATCTCTCTTGCTCCTTTTTCTTTTTCTTTTGGCTCGTCGTCCTCTAGCGTTTGTACTGGAGACAGTGTCTGCGCCCGCGAAAGAAGGATCAAAAAAATTATACATATATATATATCCACCAGAGAAAACAACAACAAAACGTAAAAAGGAAATTAAAGGCAATGCAGCATGCATGAGATGAGAAAAAAAAAAGAGCAAAAGTCCGGAAAGCCATCGGAAAAGAAAGAAAGAAAGAGAGAGAGCGGCCGGTGCTCGCTTTAGGGAGCAGCAAAAGCCCAACGGGCGTCACCGATCGATCGACCGATCGGCCGCTCTGCAGCAGCGAGCGTTGCATCTCGCATGCACTTTGCAGAGAGGAAGCTAGAGGTAGACGACGACGCGCGAGGCATGCAGCGAAGCGAGGAGAGCAAGCGCTGCAAGCGGGCGAGAGCGAGTGATGGAGACGTGTGAGAGGAGAGAGGCCTCTCCTCTGCTGCAGGTGCACGCATGCCGTTTGCGTCCATCCAGTCCACGACAAGGGAATATCGTCGTCGATGCAGCAGCAGCACCAGCCGCCCTTTGTTTATTTACCACCATACCTTGCTACACATCCACTTTACTAGTTTCATATACACATTGTAGAGGGAGAAAGTAAGAGACAGAGAGAAGGTGTTGTATATATACTCCTACCTCACACATTCTCATTCTCTCTACATAGGAGTATATATCTGTCGTCGATCTTCTAAAACTAGTACGCACATTCTATCTGTATGTCGCTCCGATGTTCATCAGAAAGTTGTTAAAATAATCAAAGCATGTTTGTTGCAGGATCATTGTCTTGAAGGGATCAAACGTACGCAGATGTGATTAAACTATTGCCCGAATCTCTCTGACCCCTTTTTCTTCGGACATCACCGATCTGGCCGTAATAAACAGGCTATTCCCTGTTTAACTATCTATCCACGGTCTCCAATGCAAATTTGCAGCCAGGAGGAGGATCGGAATGGAAGCGGCACTTGCAGTAAAAAAATTGAGGCATCGAAAGAATAGGTCGCGGTACGTACGGCCAGGATCGTCCGTAGCTGGGATGAGAATTACCAGCAGATAATATGTGTTGGTTCTTTGTTCGGAGCGAGTAAAAAATTAGTGGTAACATTTAAGCCATAGGTAGGAAGCAAATCAAGAGAGACATCGCACAGTGGATTCTGACATGACTGTGCATTCAGGCGTGATTACTTTAAGGCCAGCACAGGATAAGGCTGCTGATATCTTCACTGAGACAGCGAGATTAGATAACTGCTGCCAGGTGAGCTCCATTGGTGTTACTTAAGCCAGCTTCAACATGATTCGAGCATGGAGAGTTTGGGCCTTTTATTTTGTGTGTGGAAAGGAGAGTGTGGGCATGCATGTGTCAAGATGGGTGGATAAATTGGTACAAATGGTTGAGCATATATATATTATCACCTTGAGAAGTGTTACACCTTAGTTACAAAATTTATACCCTCATAACCTCACAATATCTGCGCCTTATTGGAAAATGTTACACATTTATCATTATTTATATAATACACTGTTGGAATATTGTCGGTTCTTCTTTAAATGTTATTTTACAGACAAGAGAAACAAAATTTTGATCAAAAAGAGCATCTGCGCCCCTTTCAACATTCATAAAAAGATGGCAAATTTACGGGATAGGTAATCAGAGTGCTTGGGTGGTGCTCAGTTCTATATATATATATCGGTCTGTACTGGCTGCATTTTGATGAAAGCTTTGATAAATAACATCTCTGTTTGTTCTAAATCAGCATACACATCGTTTCATGCGATCGAAACATATAATTGGCACTCTGGTCAATGTAGATGCGTTGTACTGGAGCACATATTCGATGATTTGCAAAGTCCGAATTTTCAATAAATTGCAAATATTCGATAAAAGGACGCATGAGTTGCGTCAATTACTCAAAAATTCACAAGGTTCAAACTGGAAACAGCAGCAGTCAGCAGTGCGCTCCTAAAGAAAGCAAATTCAACCGGGGACTTTCTGCGCCCAAGACTCCCAACACTCCCCACGCATAATTCACACCAAGACACCGGCCCATGGCTCATGGCACGCACAGTTGTCGCCGCTGGATCTTACTGTGCATCTCACCTTACCCTACATGCGTAGTACTCCCCTTGACGATCTACCTATATTTACACATAAACGCAGGACCTAGGAGAGGGCTAGAACCAAACGGAACCAGAACCCACAGGGCCACTACGGCAAAAGCACGGAGGAGTAGGGGGTATGTAGGACACTCCTCCGGGCAGCGTACATCATCTGGGTGTTCCGATGATAGGAGCAGTGTTTAGGAGAAAAGCGCTCTGCTGCTGCATGCAGGCTGCAGCAGGCACTAGCCAAGCCAAGAGAGAAGAAGAAAAAGGCGACAGGGGAGACAGACAGGGCGCAATCATGCCGACCCCCCCAAAACACGACTCGATTCCAACCTACACAAACGGCACAACCACAAACGTCCACGCCCAGTTTCCTTGGACTCTCTCCTATGCTCCTATGCATCCTACTACTCGCTTTCTCGCTCACCTGCACGCCTCTCTCTCTTTCTTGGAAAACGTGACACATTCTCTCCTCTCCTCTCCTACTCCCAGATTCTCTCTCATGGGGGGATGGAGTGAGTGAGCGAGTAGTTTTTTCTACCAGCCCCATAACATCGCACCATCGCATAATGGAAGAGAGAATTGAAACAAGTTGCAGCACGACCACAAGACGACAATCTGCCCCAAGACAAAAACTTGCTGCTTATAAATAGGCACATGCCCACTACACTACCACCACCACTACTACCCCCCCTCAAACAACAGAACCCCCACCACCAAAGCACATACGGCAAAGTAGCCAGACAAACGGAAACTCAAAGAGAGGAGAGAGTGAGTTCCTTTGATCATACAGTTGTTTTTGGCCAATCATCGTCCGAGGAGAGATGGGGATGCAGAGCAACGACGGCGCCGTCATGTTCTCCTCCATCGCGCTGCTGCAGCAGAGGTTCAGGGAGCTGGAGAGGATCAAGGAGGAGCGGGAGGAGAGGCTCATCCAGATGCTCCCTCCCCGCTCCGACCGCTCCCACAGTGGCGCTGCGGCCGTCGTCGTAGCCACGGCTGCTCCGAGGGAAGTGCCGGTGAAATGGTTCTTCCATCCGGAGCTGTTGTATCCATGCAGGCCTCTGCGTGACATGGCTGCTGCTACCTTACTTCCGGTCATGCCGGCCACCATCGACTGTGAATTCAAAACCTTCCAGCTCCGTGGTGACTCGCTCGCCGTGGACCTGTGGCCTAGTAAGGCCTACAAGCATGTATCCAGTGAAGTTGATGTCGACACCTCACTGCACCTCTAGATTACTACTACTGCTACTAAAATTGCTATCCTAAGCTGTTAACCTTCCAAGTATCCACCAGTGTTGCTGCTCTAGTTGTTTTTGGTAGCCTAGTATGTTTCTCTTCTTCTTTGGTTTTGTAACAAGGGGCAGGAGGGTGGTGAGTTGTAATTATTGCCAGTAGTAAGATTGTGCTGGTTGTTTCCCTGTTACCTTGTCGCCGCTGAATTGCCAGCATCTTCCAATTGGGCACTGTTATCGTCTGAGTAGTAGAGTAGCTCTGCAGGGCAACCATTTTCTGATGTATCAGTACACTCCTCATCATCGCTATCGGAAGAATCACCAGGGTTCTGTTTCTTCCGTTTGATGATCTTTTTCGAAATCATCCGGTTAACACCCTTGCTGTCAACATCTACACATTCGCTGCTAATTGGCTTGAAACGGACTTTGCCAACCTTTCTTGCATTAGCCTCTAGTATCTGCAAGGGAGGCCAGAGATTTAGAAAAGGTGACAAAAATTATACTCCCTCCGTCCCTAAATATTTGACGTCGTTGACTTTTTTAAACATATTTGACCGTTCGTCTTATTCAAAAAATTTAAGTAATTATTAATTATTTTCCTATCATTTGATTCATTGTTAAATATACTTTTATGTATACATATAGTTTTACATATTTCATATAAGTTTTTGAATAAAACGAACGGTTAAACATGTTTAAAAAAGTCAACAGCGTCGAATATTTAGGGACGGAGGGAGTAATTAGTAAGCAGAACATGATGCAAGTTAAAGCACAACTGAGGAAGCTTCAGATTCCTAAGAAGGATTGCTAACTGCACCAAAAAAAAAAGATCTGGAGACAACTAAATCAAAGTTCTGTACAAAACGTCAATGAAAAGTGTTGTGATTATTCTGCTACCAGCTCTTTTTTCTTGAGTTATTTATTAGAAAATAAAAAAATATTTAAGTAATACGATCTTGAGCAAGATAATTGTACTACTTTATATCCCTGCATAAATAGAATATTTAAAATCCACTTTCCCTAGTAAGGAAATGGTAAGGGTGAAAAAAAATATGGCAAGCATAATTGGGCAACTACTCTTGTGGTAAACAATGTTTACTAAACATGTGAAAAATATGCAAGCTTTGGAACTTAGTCCAGCCTGACTAGAGATCAAGTATGTTGGTATGTTTCCTTTTTTTTTCCTGAAGACAAATATACATTATACATGGATTTGCCTTCATACAGTTTTAGTAATTCAACTGTTTTATTATATTGTTATCTAGAGAACATAAGTGTAATAGGTAAAAAAAAACAAACAAGAAGTTAGTTGTTTCCTAGAACCATGTTACTTTTCATATTACCCTTTTCATTTGATAGTTGACACCTTACATCATGTGTTATGCTTAAAATTATAGAATATGGATATATGAAAATAGTATTATACTTTATAAATTCGAGTGATCTAAAGTTGGAAAAATAATAATTGTAAGTCACAGCTCAGGGACTGTAAAAAAAAAAGCAAAATAAAAAAAGAGAGAAAGAAATGAGTACTGGAAAAAAACAGCTTTATTGTGGGCTATGTACACAGAATAGGCATGAACACAATAAATATCTTCCAACTGAAAAGAAAGTGGTGACATAACCCAATAAATACAACCTTGAATAAAAGCTAAATAAATCAACTGAAGTAAACGTTCTCACAGGGTTTTTGGAAACCTGAACTAGGTCAGACAGCAGAAGGGGCACTGGTTAAAATTCACACAAAAATCATCAAATCCAGCTACCTTTCTTTTTTCTCAACTTTTTTTTTCTCAATTTTCCATGTTTTCCCCGGATTTGACCCTAAGCATATAAAGCATATGCAACTACAAGTCTATTGATATGTAAGATGAGTTTGAAGAAACTATTATTTTGGACATGGTGAACCAAAATAGGGGTACCAAAAGCAGACATGGTGATTGAGCAGTATGGTCCATTTTTTATATATATGGTGGATAAATAATTCAAAAGGTGCAATGAGTTTGACAAATTTTCCATTTTCATGAACTCTAAACTCTAGCCAGATTTGGTAAGCAGAGATTGTAGGCTGATGGCCAAGTGGGATTGGTTAGGCCAGCCAGGTATAGTTGCATGATGTGCCAAGATTATTTTACAGTGCATAGCACGAGGGAACCTATGACAAGGACATGGTCCATGGGTTGCTAAAATTATGGATCAAAGAAGAAAGGTAATCTGTAGGTCACTAGTTATTTAGCAAATTGCATTAAACAGACAAATATCATGAGATTGACAACTACCCTACAAAGCCCCACATTCTCATGCCTTCACTCCAAATGACAGCTCTCGGCAGCAGCCCCCTCTTCAGCCACAGCTCCCCCTGCTGTCTCATCCTTCCTCCACCCCTGACTTTAGGATACGGTGGAGAACATCCAGAGGGAGACATCTTGGACGATGTCCCATGTGGGATGAACTTCACAACTGTATTCATAAGGGGATCCTAGTGTGGTCTTGAAGAACCAAACCACGGAACAATAACTTAAGTCCATGCCCCAAAACCTGTTTGCCACGAGACACCACGACCCTTGCACTGGGATAAGGAACCAAAGAGGCCAGTGTATGGATCCGAGCTGACACAAAGGAAACAAGGTTTGACCTTCAGCTGGTCCTTGATGATTCAGGTCACGCCACCTTGCTGATGTAGTTTTGAAATTCCGCCGTAAGCAGAACATTGTCTGAGACTGTTCACCTATGGCCTTTGTACTCCCTGTGTACTTCCAAATTTTTCTAAAGTTATGTATAGTGAGTGTGTGTTTTGGAGGTAAGACCACCATGAAGGTCTAAGTGCTCTGGTTCCAAAAGTTCAGGAGTAAAGATATCCAATTGTGCAGTTCATGAGGTTCAGTCAAAACCTGAAACTTACCCCAACCTTGAGGTGGTAATATTGATTATTCCATTGCCTTTATTAATGCTATGTTCAGGTTAATAACTGAAGTACTGAACTCATATTAACTATTTTCAAATAAAGCAAAAAAATGAAAAACAAATTATCAGAACACATAACTGAACATTTCATCCTATGTAGAAATAGAAAGGTATTTAAAAGGCAAAGTAGTACAAATAGAACGTGAACAAAATGGAAATGAATCACCAAAGGAAGTTTTGGACATGACACAAATAACATAAGCCAATTTTGTTGGATGACATTTGTGCATCCAAATGCATTAGAAACCATTCCGGGCTTGGAAAAAAATCACTAAAAAAATATAGATGCAGGAGATGTTCATCTCTGCTTACAAAAAAAAAAGTTATAAAATGTATCCTACATGATGAAATGATATGAACAACCAAAGTAGCTAGGAACATCAACCCGAGTTCCTATTTTGGTTGTTTTCTAAAGTCTGGTGTGAAGTTAGAAAACGTCTTATGTATGTATATGGGCTGGAGTGTGTGTGTGTGTGTGTGTTTGGTGTTGTATCCCGTATGTTCTTCTTTAACAAAATGACAAGCAGTTCTCCTGCGTTCGAGAAAAAAATTGTACCCTACAATTTTTTTTTTTTAAAAATAAAGGCCATTTCTAGAAAGTAGCTCTAGATCTGTTTATTGCTCTTTGTTTTCCTTATATGCAGAATAAAACATCTAGGGTAATGTTGGCTCATACATTCAAATAATAGGCTGTGGTGGACAAAAAACTAAGCCAGTGTGATCATTTCACAAGGTCCTTAAGCTTGCATTATACCAACAATCATTTTAAATCATGTAGGAAGTAAAGACCCTAGGGGTGTATATAGCGATTATTCATCATTGTTTCTAGTCGGAGGACTTGGCAAACATAATCCAGGATGGTGTTGGCAAAAAAAAAAAATCTAGAATGATCTTAGAAACACTAGCTAATATACATCTCTACTAGAGACCTAGTGTCTGACCCTGCTGCAAACAAATTGTAAACAGAGGATTGTACCACTTACCTCAAGTTCATAAGCCTGAGTTCTTTCTTTATCATCTTGGTTATCAGATCCTTCTTCTTTATATTCATCATTTTCTTCTCTGTTATCCTTTTCGAGTATAACTAGCATTTTCCCACCTTCTTCTGGTATATAACCAAAGGATTCACAGACAAAACCAGACACCGTCTCATACTGATGACCCTGCAAACAAATGCATTTCCAAATTCCAAGTGAACCTCATATCCAGCATATGGTGATTGCAGTAGCACATTCCACTTAAGAAAACTATGCTTAATATAAGCCAAGTGGCATATATCATTCTAAAGCTAACACCTAGCAAGATGTGTTATTGACAATTCAGAAGAAATCTCAAAGCACTCAATCAGCTCTGTTAAGTAAATGAAGAAGCACTCAATCCTCAGGAATTAGCTCGAGACAAACTTGATGTGTTCAAGATAACTCTTGAAATTGATATTATAATGATTAACAGGATTTCATATTCAAGAATAAGAAGGAACAGCCACAGGAGATAGGCCTTACATATGGAAATATGGGATGAACTGATTCGAATATATCAAGTTGCATATGATATGTGGAAAATGCATTTATTTACCCTTGGAGCACATATAGTTAACTCCAGTGAGAAATGTGTCACCATGGGAACATTTAGTTAAATTATTTGAATATTATTTATAACGATCATATAAATGATTTTGCCTTGGAAAATAAAATATAATATTTTTTGCTAGATTTTCAAGATATGTTGGTGACCAAGATTCCAATTTGATTGCCATGGCAATGTCCAAAATAACACTTATAGTGACTGTAGAAGTAAACAGCAACTGTAGAAAAAGCAAAGACCAAACAAGAAATAACACCTCTGGTATTTTAACACCAAGTTCTTCAGATAGGTGGTCTATTGATGTATTTGCATCAACGTCAAATGTTCCGTCATCCAGCATCACTATATAACCTGTTTTCTTCTGGATTTCCTCCTGCAAAGGTAAAAACATAGTAGCATAAGGAAATGGGTACAACTGTCTACTTAAGCAAAAGAGTAGCAAAATGGATCATGGTCTACTAAATGCAATATGTTGTTATGACTTAAAACTAAGAGAACTGGCAAGAATCAGGCAGTTATAGCTCAAACAGTAGCAGAGGCAGAGCACTTCATCCCTGCCAGTTTGACAACTTCAATGCCAAGTTTTTATGATACTCTTGAGTTATGTTAATTCAGAATGATTCTTCATGATGCCAGTTGATTCCCACCATTACATAGTACTTCCTCCATCCCAAAATGTAAGCATTGTTTAGATTGGCACAAGCATTAGGAAAGTAGGTGGGAATGATTGAAGAAAGGTTGTGATTGGTTGAAAAGAGAAAGTAGGTGAAGGAGAATGGTTGTGATTGGTTGAGGAGGTAGGTGGAGAAATAGATTCATTTTGGGACAATGTACTGTGCTAGAAATAGAAACATTTTGGGATGGAGGTAGTATTAATTATAAGAATTGGCACTAGATAGTTGCTGGATGATTTCCATCAAACCGGGATGTAACTGACCAGGATCTAATTAATAAGGCTAATTATGGAACACACTAACTCTTAAGACAATGCAAACACATAAATACTAAGAGCTTGAAAGTTGTACTACTGCAGTGATTATAAGAATGTTCACAAAGTCATAATAGCACGTGTGCTTAAGTTTTCTTTCTCTCATGAAATCCTTATACAAGATGATTAGCATTTGATTTGCTACACAGATGGAGGGATTAGTGTGATCAGAGAAAAGAAAAGCAGAAATCAAATATCACTTCCATACAGCGTGTGGTAAATGGCATTAGACTCTGAATTGTAAAATTTAAATCAAAAGGACCACTGAAATAGCCAACCTTTGAATCATTCTCATCGAAGATTTCTCCAACTATTTCTTCCACAACATCTTCTAATGTTACAATCTGCAATTTTTTAGCAGTAGTCACTAGTCAGAGAGACTTCCGAAAGTAAGAGATGCATGGGATAAGTAATGAACAGAAGCTGTTTCTGATTATTCACAGAACATAGGACAAAGCTGGTGCAAGAGTGTGAATAATTATTTAATGAAATAGGAAACCTTACAATAAAACTGAGTTTCATCCAGAAGGCATGTTTAATTCCCAACAAGTACAATATAGAGTAATAGTTGCTGAATGTATTTGTGCTGTAAAGATGTTTAATGATTTTGATTTCAGATCGTTGTAAAGAGTAAACACGTTTGACCCTACAACTTGCAAGAGGTATTTGCATATAAAAATTGACAATAAACTATGGATATATAACACAACCTAAAAATAATGTCAATAATATTGGGATACAAGGCTCTGCCACTCCTGATAGTTGGCAATTGAGAATTTGCCACTGATATGACATGTGGGACAAGGATATATGTAGTGGAAAATCCTCAATTGCCAAAGATGAGTGTGGAAAATTGTCAATCCTCCCTCCAAATATTGCCACACATCTGCGGTTCCGAATATACAGACCACTCACTGTCCCATCAAAATGCTGGCAAGCAAGGTTCATAAAACCAACTACAGTCAGGCAGTTACTGTCACGTAAACCAGAACCTGCCCTCTTTCTGCAATCAGGTTGGTTCATCCCTGTTACACCCTCATTTTGTTTATTCTTGCCTTGTCAGCTAGATTGTGAATACTACAGTCCATTTTATTCTTGCTTTCTTGGTTTGGATACTACTCTAGTTTGGAACATCTAATCATTAGTTATAATATAACAAATTCGTGAAGCAAAACAAAAAAAAGATCTTCATATAACAGCAGAGGACTCCTCTGGGGTGTTTTGTTCAAAACAAAAGAGAAAACAATCTTTATTTTTATATTTCAGAGAAACCAGGTGAAACTGAACTGTGCAGATTGGAGAGAACAAAATGATTTTCCTATCGAACAACAAACCATGAAAGAGCAAAGGTGTCTAAGTTGAGCTAAAAATATTGAATTTCCAGTTATTTGACCAAATATGAATTAAAAGATCCCCTTCAAATAACCAATGATAAATGGAATCAATAATAAGAACTATAAGTAGAAAGTCAATTCTATTTTGAGAAAGTACAAGGAACAAAGGATTGGTTAATAAAATCTTACACCAATAGTCCCACCATATTCGTTGAGGACCACTGCCATATGAACCTGCCTGATGCGAAACTCTCTTAGCAAGTTCCAAACAGACATTGAATCTGTCAAGACAAAATATCACATTTTTACATATATGACATGTGGACCAGAGGAAACATTAAGACATAAAGAATGCAATGCCCTACACAAATCTGGATTTGAAAAAATCCATTGAAATAGAAAATAAATAGGTTAGATGGATGCTGAAAAAGGACAGTACTCAAATACTTGTAATGTTCTGTATCTGCCTTTAGATTTATCAATGGACATTTTTGTAATGAGTATCATTCGTGAAAGTTTACCTGGAACAAAGTATGTGGGCATATGTGCAATTTCCTTCACAGTAATCTCCTTCAACTTCTCAACCTTCAAATCAAAATGCATCTTTCTTCAGAAAATCCTTAATCCGAACAAATAAGAGTCACCTACTCATCCTTTTCTACTTTAAAAATTCAAATGGTAAACAAGAGACAGACCTCTTCAACATACTCAAGCATATCCATGGCGTAAGCAATTCCAACAATATTATCTATGCGTTCCTCAAACACTGGAACTCTGGAAGTAAGAGCTGCACATGTCAACAACAAGAATTGAAGATGCATACTAAAAGTTCACAGCTGAGATACCTAGAGTACTGATGAGTTTCCCATAAGTTTTTGAAATCAATCAGTGTTGCGGTAGCATCAATTGCAACTACATCCACCAGAGGCGTCATTACCTCCCTGACGTGTGTATCTTTTATCTCTAGTACATTCTCGATCATATCCTGTTACAAATGTCACTCATTGAATTTAGCTGATCAAGAATAACTAGCTAAGAGTTCAGTACAAGCAGGGATGGATCAGAAATTCTGAATAGTACAATACAGAAATACAGAAAACATATTGCACCTATATCTTTGTGTTCATCTAACTTTACTTTTTGAAGCGTTCTTTCGGAGCATTTCAATAGAAGAAATAATAATAGATAATGAGAACATTTATTGCCTCCTTATGTCAGTGAACTCAAGATTAAACAATCCTTTGACAAAGAGCAGTGTAGAATGAGAACTCCCAATGCAGAACGGATGAATATGCATGTACTAGAAAGTTGCCTACATAAACCTTATTAAATGCAATCACCACCGGAAAGCTTTCCAAGCCATGAATAAGAGCCCCATGGTAAAACATATAAAAGGTTACCATCTGATGGTACAATAGTAAAAAGAACACATTGTGATCAGATAGTTGCCTAGTGTTTCTGTGTTTTTTCTTTTCATCAGCCTGTTGTTTTGCAGCAGGGTGTTGTGTCAACTTTACTCCTTAATATAAAGGTGTGCAAGTCTTTTGTGCATTCCCAGGAAAGAAAGCGCAATGATCTAGCACATATTATGAAAATAGCTAAATAACATCCTTTTGGTATATCATGGTGTTTGGTGTTTACCACTTCAAACAGTAAAACTTCAACATAGCAACTCCAATTCAAAGTACAAATGGACATCAATAACGAAAATAAACTTCCAGTAACAAGTGCACACACTGGCCAGTATACAAAAAATAAGTCAAATTCACAAAATTAATAATAATCAAGGCAATAAACAACAACATAGGTAAGCAAAATATATACATGAAATTATTGTGATATTATCTAACCTGTTCGTCTTCTGCAATAGCGCCACTCAACTCTGCACCTCGTAACATTAATTTCAGTTCATCCTCAGTAACATATGGTTCACTGAAAAAAAAAATTGTGTAAAACACACAGAATTCCGTGTCCTTAAAAAATGTACGTCCATTTTGGTTTGCAACCGTACCAAACATCCCCTCAAAAGTTTGCCCTACCAAATGTTTCAGCATTACCCATAAATTTGTTTCTTATTGGCGCCAATCCAAACACAAATTATCAACTCTACCCTACCAATTTTTTTTAAAAAAAATCTGATGATTATTTAAAAATCTTCACACCTCGAGTTCTGAACATGTTTAAATTGCACAACAATACACATACAGATATTAGGTTCAAAATATACAGTTGAATCCAAATCCATCATAGTGATAGTTGTGTATATAGTATATAAATATCCAATACTTACGATAACTGATAACCACCTATTCGGTTAATCCATATTTGAATCCTTGTTGTACATGAGTTTGATCGACTTGGCTTTTTATATTGGTGCATATTTTGTGGAACCACCCATGCCGTTCACATCCCTGCCTAGTTACCTTTAACACCAATAGCAAAATATGAAGGAAGAAGCTTTTTGTAACCTGTTGGAGTTGTTTATGAAGGACACGCTACTCATATTTTTAAAGTTTTGGTTACTCAGTTAATCAAGAACAACAATTAACAATGCTACACAAGCAGAAAATATACATTAAATGCCAGTATTATGTATGCCTACCTTCTTCCCTTCAGGCCTAGAATCTGTAGCATCCCCATGGACAGAAAAGTGACAATTCGCCCAACTGGATACAGGACCAATGAAAGCCATGCAACTGGTCTGATACATTACAATAGATATACAGCATTAAACATCGTATTAACAAGCAGGCTATTTCAACAAATATTTGAAACTAAGTCCTGCTTACATCTGTCTCACCTTACAACAAACCTAGCAACCTCTGTAGCATTATGAACTGCAACACTTTTGGGTGTGATTTCTGTAAGAAGTAAGATGGCGACCTGAAAAAAGGTGGGGCTCCACAGTTAGACGTCATATAAACATAAGAGAACATTTTTTATTATGAGTAGATCAGTGCAAAAGAGACGACATACAGTCATGACGCCTGTTGCTGCACTGACACCTGCTTCACCAAACATTGCAGTTGCCGCCTCAGTAACAATTGCTGTTGCGCCAATGTTGACCACACTTTCATACAGAAGTATTCCAGTGTGAGGAAGAAAATAATAAGGAGGGATCCAATTTATGCCACTGAATTACACTCAATGTCCACAATACACCACTGGCATCTCCAAATGTGTGGTTCCAAGACCCAAAAGGCCAAAAGTTTGTCTCACAGTGAGTGGCATATTGTGGGTATGGATTGAACTCAATGACATAATATGGATTATAGAAAAAAAATATAATAAACATGGCAGAACACATAGGTTTAATAAATTACGTTGTGCCAATGAGTATGGTTGTCAGGAAGCGAGTAACATCACTTCGGAGCATTCTGAAAACACCATTTTCAGGTTCCTTTTCAGCCAACTCACGAACCTAGTGGAACAGAAAACCAAATCTAAGCATCAATTGTTTAGACATGAAAAGGACTACCATCAACCAACAGGGTTTAATGGATGATAAACAAGGTGGGGACTTATGCATTTGCCATGGAACAACAAAAGATGTTATGTCAAACTATAATCCCAGCAGAGATGCACACATGAAACTATGGACTCAATAGTATGGTCATATGCCTTGCTAATGGATTCAATTAAATTTTGTCCATCCAAAGCATGCTGATTTGGGAGACGATGACACAAAGACCAAATTGTAACAACTAAATTATTACAGAAGCTTAAAACTCAATGTTAAATTAATGTTATTACCTACTAAACCTGAACCTAGAGCTTAAATCATGATCCTGAAGAATGAAGATAAAGCCGCACTAAACTTAAAATGTGCAAATAACTTGACCTACCACTGGATGAACACTAATTGTTTGTTGGGACAAAGAAAATAATAAGAATTAGCATGGGCAGTCAGTGACACTGTGACAGTGCACATTCCCCTGACAATTACAGGGGTATCAGTGCATGCATCCAGTTTGAAGTAGTGCATATGTTAGTATGGTGTGTACTGTATGTATTTCTTTCAAACCATAAATACATCAAAAGAAACTTTGGGAGCTGGTAAATATTTACAGGGTCAGTACCAGCTCAGGATCATGCAACAACACCAGCACAGGAAGCAACTAAGCCCCTGCACAAACTGTTCATCTGATGCACATAATCTCCCTTTGTTGAGTAATGCCTAATGGCCTAGTACCCACCCGTCAACACTCAAAACCAACATCAGAGATGTTTTTATACGGCTTCCACCTTCCTCATGTAAACTCGTGTCCTTCCTACCTAAATGGCTCAATTCACCATGGAAATTTTAAAATTAAACCCCAAATACTATCATTTTCATCATCATGCCCAGTTGCGCACAATCACTGATCTAGCTAGACTTATGTTACAACCATCAACCAGTGAAGTGATGTTACGCAACAATTAGACATTGTGTAACAAATTTTCAACCAGTGAAGTGATGTTACGCAACAATTAGACATTGTGTAACAAATTTGTATCATGGCACTTGATAGTTGGTAGACGCACCTTCCAAGGCCATAGCGTGGTGATGGAAGTCTCAGCCATGGAGAAAAACGCCGAGAGGCCAAGCAACACAGCGAGAATAATCCCCTGCTCTCTAAGCAGCTGCAGAATCTGCAGCACCCTCGGCCAGCCACCACGCAGTGCCATCCCGCCAAACCCAGCCGCCGCCTCCACCGCCCCAGATGCCCCTGCGGCTCCCGCCGCCCCCGCCACCGCGAGCGCCCGGTGGCACCATGCCGCCGCAAGCGCGCCGCACGCCAGCGCCACCGCGACCCTCCTCACCGCCGCCGCCGCCGCCACCGCCCTCCCCACGCCACCCTCCACCTCCACCCCGGGCGGAGGCGTCACCCGCAGGGGCAGCGCGGAGGCGGATACGGGAGCGGGCAGGCCGCGGGACCTCGCCCCGGGGGCGGGGACGGGGACGCAGCAGCAGCGGCGGGAGGAGGAGCGGGAGGGGAGGAGGAGGTGGGGGAAGTGGAAGGGGGGCTTGGTGGGGGCGCGGAGGGACTGGAACTGTTGCCGCGGGTGCCTCCCGCTGGCGAGCAGCAGCGCCGCCGTGGAGGTGGAAGGCGACGACATGGGGCCGCTCGCCGCCGCCACCGCCGGCGGAGAGAGAGAGAGAGGGCGGGAGGGTGGCGCGCGGAGGTGGGGGGAACTAGGCGGCGAGGGGGGTGGTGGGTGGTGGTTGCGCGAAGGGAGAGAAGGGGGAAGAGGGGGAGGAGGAGGAGGAGGAGGAAGAGGATGACGCCATGGTTGGAGGTGGGGGCGGCCGGTGCGCACGAGCGAGCAGCCACCCGCGGCCCCACCTACTGCCACTTGAGTCGACGCATGGTCCTACTCAACTCCTACAGAACATCGTCGGAGTCCAATAGATTGGAGAAACATGCAGTTTAGCGGGCCGCTTCTTGGTTGGGCTTGTTTTTTTTTTTTTTTTTTTTGCTTATATGAGCTTTATTATTTGGAATAAGTTCACCAGAGGTCTCTCAACTTAACAGCGAGTTTTTTTTAAGGTCCTTTAACCACAAAACCAGAAATGTCTACCTCTAAACTCACACAAACCGTTCAAAGGAGGTCTTATGGTAGTATTTTTTTGCCTAGTTTTGCTGACATGGCATACTAGTAAGCAAAAATTAAAAATTAAATTTTTAGGACCCACATGTAAGTGGGAAAAAAATGTAGGGTCAACAATCCTAGTCAACGGGAAGCTGGCGGCGGGGGGTGGGTGGCACAGCGGGCAAGCGGCGGCGGCAGGCGGCGTGGACACCGGTGAGGAGGAGCATCGGCGGCGACAGGTGGCGGCAATGTTGGTATTTCTTACGACCACAGATAAATCCGCAAGCGCACGGAATACCGCTGTAACACTTCACCTTCGGGTGACCCCAAAAGGATATCGAACTCAGAAAATGTGTACAATCTATCTAAGGCTAAGATGATCCAAGGACAACAGCTATAGGTAGGCTAGGCAGGCTAGAGAGGATTTTCTATGTATTTTAATTATCTAAGCTAAGCAAAGGTAGTTTTCTATCTGTTGTTTCGGGCACCGACCCCTGCTGGTCTGCCAGCGTGGTTCCGGCTATAGCTCCATGATGTATTCGAATGTTGAGGATTACTAGGAAGGGATTCAGGGCTGTCATCACCTGCAGCCTACCTCTGACAAATCCGTGGGATACACAACAAACAAAGGTAATATCTAACCAAGACACCACGTCTATGTTATTAATTACTAGTCTAATACTTATACAGGAACTTCCTTCTTTATCCAGAGTCATAGTACTAGAGCACTTAGTATGAATACTAAACAATGAACCCGCAAAGATAGAAATTTGTATTACTCAGACTAAGTAATTAAATAACAAGAGAAAGGATCTCGAATGCTTACTTAATAGAAGAAGTTCTCCGAACCCGGAGCAGAGTGTACCGACAGCTTCGGTACTCCTCCAGAATTCCTCCTAGAGAGCTACACTCGTCGAGGTAGAAGTCGGATGAGCGCCAAACTTCCAGGCACTCCTCCAGAGCTTCTCCTCACTATCTACCTAATTCTAATGTACAAAAGATACAATAGAGCCTCTTGTAATTTAGCTCAAAGTTGTGTGTGAGTGAAGTGAGGGAGAGGAGCTTTATTTATAGCCTTCATATGACGGTTACAGCTATGGGAAATGTCCTAAATGCCCTCCAACCATCATTGAGACTTCAACCGGAGCGTACACGTCGAAGGTCAGGATGAGAGGAGGCTGTGGTGGTTCGGCCGAACCCATGGTGGGCCCCACCTCCTGGCCTCTCCTTTGACAGGGACACTGACTGGTGGGCCCTGATGGCGGTTATGACAGTTATGACTCATTCCATGGTGGTTCCACCTGACTTGTGGGCCCTCCAATCTATGTGCTTGTGTCTGATTGGCCGGAGGTGTGTTTCCTCACATGCCGGGTGTGTTTTCTCCTTAAAATACCTACATACACATATTTTACCAACACTAGTGGAATTGATTAGTAATAATCCCTACCACTAAGTTAGATACCATATTTTATTTAATTATATGCATGTATTGACGGTCAAATATTACGATTTAAGGATCATCAACAACATCCCCACACTTAACATTTGCTCGTCCCGAGTGAAGGCTATGGACTCTACAAAAGGTTTATGACTTCCTTATAATTATGCAAACAAATTATTCAAAGTCATATCTATACTTGTGGGTCTTTGTAGTGTCTACCATGCGATCTTGGGGAATTGAGAAATGGAACAATCTTGACTCAAGTCGCCCTTACTTTTCATGAAATTATAACTTTGCTTTGCTCCTCAATTGATTCTCTCGATCACTCAAAGTGTATAATTTCTCACAAAGGCATATGATTGTGCCAAGTCCTTTCATAGCCTCCCAATGACGGTTATGGCAGTTGGAATGGTCGGAAATGCTCTCTAACCGTCATTGGAGAGCAATCCTGGACGTCCACGCCAAACCCTGCATCCAACGGAGCAGATGGGGGTTCGGCCGAACCCCTTAGTTCGGCCGAACCATGGGCTGGTCCAATCCAGCACATTTTTGGTTGGCGGCCTCCTGGACTTCTCCTCTCTATAGACTTGTGAATTTTGGTCCAATTGGTCGTGTCATTTCTGAGTTCTTGGCCCATTCATACATAAGTCTGATCCTCGACATCGTCCGATTGATTTATCGTCTGGTTTGATGTCGATTCCTCTCCATTTTATGGTTATTCTTTGCAAAAGGTTAGTGATCCAAATGCTAGAGGAATATTATTATTCTAACATGGATATTGCAAGCATAACTAGTTCTCTATTTTGGTAACACTGAGGTCGAAACTAATCGCTAATGACCGTCAACAGGGGGAGAGGGATCCGAAGAGAAAAAAACACTTGTATCCTCCCACCAGAACCAACCACACACAAGAGTAGGGTATTACGCTTCCACAGCGGCCAAAACCTGTATAAACCGATTGCGTCCCCATTGCTTCCGAGGGGCCCGACCCCCTCTGCACATAGTTATTAAAACCGGACCGGATTGGCGGTCGGACTGGAAAAAAGACTGGACTGGCGGTTGGACCGGAAAAAACTAACCAGAGCCCTTGCCGGTCTAGGTAAAAGACCAGCATGCAATCGACCCTGCTGTGAACCGGTTAGACCGTCCAGTTCTGAAGAAATAGCGGGTTGCGTGGCTGCTGCTGTCGGTGATATGGGCCCGGGGGTATCATGTTTAGAGGGAGGAGGCTGCCCCCGATGCCACGTGGCCCTCCCCTAAGGGGAGTCAGGCCCGAGGTGGGGTGGCGGCCACTCCTTCCTAAAGACTAGTCGGAGGAGGCTGCCCCCCGATGCCACGTGGCCCTCCCCCAAGGGGAGTCAGGCCCGAGGTGGGGGGGCGGCCACTCCTTCCCAAAGACTAGTCAGAGGAGGCTGCCCCCCAATGCCACGTGGCCCTCCCCGAGGGGAGTCGGGCCCGAGGTAGGGAGGCGGCCACTCCCTCCCAGAGATTGGACGGAGGAGCCTGCCCCCCAATGCCACGTGGCCCTCCCCCGAGGGGGGTCGAGCCCGAGGTAGGGCGGCGGCCACTCCCTGGCCGAGAATAGAGGGAGAAGGCTGCCCCAGGCGCCACTTGGCCCTCCGCCGAGGGGGGATTGGGCCCGAGGTCGGGCGGCGACCGCCCCCTCCCGTGACTAGGGGTTGGGCTCCCCCGACCCCCTCTCTAGGTCACCACGTACGGTGGGTTAGGTGTCCGCCTACAGGTGCCCACCTACCTGCATTTATGATGACCCGAAAGGTCACGCCACGCCGCATTTAATGCGGCGTGTAGTGTACTCAACCGGTCTGTCACCGGTCGAATGACCGATGGGACTGGCTAGTGCGCCTGTGCGTTGCTCGTGTGTCAGGCGGCGTGCAGCCTAACATGTCCCATCAAATAATGATGGTGAGAGGTTCTCATCCTCTTACCCCAGCCGGAGTCGGTCCTCCCGCTCCGGTCAAAGCTAGGCTCCTATTTCCCGGTGTAATAGGAGCTCAGAAGTCTTCACCCATTAAATAGTAAATGACATGGGCGCCCCCCATGTCAGGCGGCATGGTTTGGTAGGCCCCACGACCGAGGCGACGTGTATGCGGCTTCCACGTCAAGGAACAAGAAATGCATTTAATGCAAAGATTGTAATACTTCTCGACGAAGTTAGGTTGTTGGGCCTATGTAGTAACCCCTTGAGGTATAAAAGGAAGTCTAGGCCTAGTGAGAAAGGGGGGGGGGGACTTCCGAGCGAACTGGCGCTTGGGTCTCGCAACCCCAAGCATTTGTGTTCTACGCTCAATCAATCAAGCACAGGAGTAGGGTGTTACGCTTCTTAGCGGCCCGAACCTGTATAAACCCCTTTTGTCTCATCGTCTTTGGGGGATTGAACCCCCTCAAGATCACACAGCTTCGCTCACCAAGCCCTCGAATCTCACCCGCTACCCCTGGCCGAACTCACAAAGGGGGGCCTCACGGTTCCCTGGTGGAGGAGTTCATTCCCCGCCATCTGCCGCGCCAGGTAGGGGGCGCGTTCGTGATTTTTGAGGTTCTTTTGAGCGCCGGCGTGACGAGCGTCGCACCGCCAATGTGGGGGAAGGCGCAGCCTCCTCAGGAGAGCCGCGCCACCCCAGGCAGGGGGCTAGTCCCCCCACATCTTCACCGGCCTCACCGAAAGGTACCACGGAAGCGTCAACCCCTCCGAGTCCCTCCAAATCCACACGACGATCTTAGAGGTGGCGTGGGGTGACGACCGGGTCAAGGCGAATTTCTTCCCCATGGCCCTCCAGGGCCAAGCACGGGGATCGCTTATGAACCTGCCACCTGCCTCGGTCTACTCCTGGGAGGACTCTTGTAGTTGAGCTCCGGGTGCCATCGAAGCCCGGGACCCCCTATGCCGGCTCTTCCGTAGCGGCTAGCTTTGGTCCCACCGGCAGGCTACGGTGCCCGGCCCGGCTCAACTAATCGTCCTTTCAAGCTTCAAGTATTTTTCAATTTTTCAATTCATCAGCTTAGTACAGCTTGAAGTCTTATATTTATTTTCCCCCCGTTCTTTTCTCATGGCCTTGCGACGCTCGCGTGTTACGCATTTGTTTGCTCCCTCGGTGGTAAGAGCCCAACCTCTCTCCCATCTACATGAACGTTTCCTCGCTAAGTGTGGGGGCTAAGTTTTCTAGCCCTATTCCGGCCTTAAATTGAGCGCCGGGTGCCGTCGAAGCCCGGGACCCCCTGTGCTGGCTCTTCCGTAGCAGCTAGCTTTGGTCCCG